AAAAACAAATCTCATTACGCTTGTATGTGTTCTGTGTGCAGTTTCGTGCACGTTTTGGTTTCATGTTAATATTGTAATGAATATGCTGACATTTTCTATTGTTTACATTTTTATCAAGGAAGGAGACATTGCCGTGCCGTAGGTTTTGCTCGCCTCTGTTTGCCTGTATATACATTTTGCAGGTAGAAGAATATTTCTCTGATGCTGTCTTTTCTTTGTATCATCACGTAAGTACGTGTGCATTTCAAATGTTCATGGAATAAATTTAATAAGATAAAGGAATTTCTCTTTATGCTTTAACGGTTTGAGTTACAGTCTCAGATTTAATGTCACAGCTCACCTCATGTCAGGTTTTAGTGGTGTTTACAGTCTTAGCATGCTATCAGGTGTTGTTTATGGATATGCTTTCCCAGAGGTGTTTATCAAGCCCATTTTTCCATTAGACTTGTGCTCCATATGACTTTTTCTGTGTGTGTCGCAGTGGCCTCAGAACGGATAGCTGTTCTTGTTTCACACCATCTATTTTTACTCTCAGCTTGAAATGTCTTCACCTCAGGTAACCAGTCTTAATAGTTTTGGAATCCAGTGGTCTATAGATTGGTCAGTTGTGATATGGTGAATATTTAGAATTCTCTGCATTTTTACTGCTTCATGTTTAAAAATGACCACAGGAGCGTTTATTTCCAAAATAGCAGGTTGATAGTTAAATAGTCAAATAGTGGCTCTGTTAAAATGGTTGAGTTAAAAATACCCCAACAAATAACCCAACTATAGGTTATTATAGCACTTTCCCAACTAGAAATTCTATTCTAACCCAATGCATTAGGTTATATAATTTAATTTATATATATATATATATATATATATATATATATATATATATATATATATATATATATATATGTGTGTGTGTGTGTGTGTGTGTGTGTGTGTGTGTGTGTGTGTGTGTGTATATATATATATGTGTGTGTGTATATATATATATATATATATATATATATATATATATATATATATATATATATATATATATATATATATATATATATATATATAAATACGTTATATATATATATATTTTAGATATCATGTTTATATTTAATCCTGGTGTTACTATTGCTACTATTACTACTACTAATATTCATTTTATAATTATGACTGTGTAAAAAAAATAACATACAGTATTCAAAAATATTAAAAATGCTTTTTTTCATAACATTTTAGTTCCAGACACTTTGTTAAAATAAATCAAGAATCGCAAACAAAGGAGAAACAGAACAAAGCTCAGAAAATCATGTGTTGATTGAGCAGAATATGGAGCTCTGTGTGCTGTAGAGACTGTTCAACAGCTGCAGCAGGCTTTACTCAGTATAAACAATGTACAATACATTTTAACCACATCCAAACACTTCTAAAAGATAGTCTTGGATGGTGAATTGGATATAAAAACAAGACACAGAGGGGTAATTTGATAAAAAAAAAGAAAGAAATAAATATTACTGCGTTATCGCTTAAACTGTATAAGGCAAAAACAACATTACGCACACATATTAATTCAGTGGTTTTGTGTCAGTTAAATCAGTTGACTGTTGAAATTATAATTTTTAACCCCATCTAATTTTTTTCAGTGTATAAATCAATATTTTTATGGGAAGATAGCTGTACAATTGTGAGTGAGTGTGTGTGCGTGTGCTGCGTGCGTGCGTCTGTGCACTCATGCGTGCTATTTGGCTGTGTCTTCAGGCCACAGAGTTCCCTGCACTGAACCAGTGTTAAGGTTCAGACACAGCGGGTGAATTACAGTCTGCTTTCAAACCATTGAACAAAACAGTGGTGAAGTATGAGCTCATGCAGGGTAATTCCCATGATGACCAATAGCCTATCCTTCACAGAACTTACCTCACTCATCTAAAACAGGGATCATTAACCTGCATGTCCTCATTTGCAGACTCATTCCTGGGTCAGTATATTTTGTTGATCCTGAAGCAGTAATCCTCTACAACAATATAATTTCAGCCTAACCTTTTACTCCTAAACCTTACCATAATTGTATTGTTTGGACAACAACTGTAGATATGTCGAAATGATCAAGACGTTTGAGGATTCAGGCTTAAATTGATTAGTTAATATGAAAGGAGTTGAATTTCAGATGTGTTAATGGACATTAGGTTTTTGAAACATACTGTAAGTGCACCAATCACAGACTAAGCCACCTGACCAATCAGAGCAGGCTTTCAAAAAGGCGGGGTGTAGAGCTGATGCCTTCAAAACTAATTAGAAAGAATTTAAACAGCATTACATAGATGAGCGTACAGCGAGGATGCAGAAATAAACCGGGAGCACTAGCATTTATATTAGCGTTTGTTTTTGTCTTAGAAATAAGTTATATTGATTACATATTATACTATATATATATATATATATATATATATATATATATATATATATATATATATATATAAATATATATATATATAAATATATATATATATATATATATATATATATATATATATATATATTATTTACATAATGCTTTCAGCGTATTATAACAGCTTGTCACCCAGTAATAAGCAAAGATATTCTGCAAAATTAACGTTAAAGTGAGCGGCGTTCATCTGACAGGTTAATTTGCGATAGACGGATAAGATGAAATGACCAAGCATCCAGCCCAAAACAGACAACTATATCATTGAAACTCCAAGTGATTTTATAAGAGAAAAGTTAAAGGTCTACAAGTCTTTGGATGCCTAAAGTTTTGTTCTGTGTGAACATGTGCACGAAATAATGTTTCATGGTTACCAGATTCAACACTATGTAGTGCTAAAAACGAGGTTCGGCCTAGCCAAAGTCAAGGAAAGAAGACGAAACTGTACAAGGCCTGGGTCATCATCAACAAGCAAAACAACTGCATTCTGACAGTGAACTGCACCTGTATGACAGGGTATGTGAACCTACATCGTTACATTTCATTCTAAGCATTCAGTGTCTGCAGGTTTAATGAACCAAATTTAACTGTTTTGTCTGAAATCATTGCAGCAATTAAAAAACGAGTGATGTGTATGATTCACATCAGCATGAACTTACCTGATATGAAATGAGAACTGCAGAGTCGAGCATTTCAAATAAGGTCCTCACTCCATTCAGCTCCCTTTTAACGTCTGTGCTTAGCATTAAAAGCAGTGTGGTGTACGGTAAGAGTTAAGTTTTCTGTTTTGCGAATTCTACCGCAAAACACAGTTTGCTATTGCAACCGGTCTTTTTTTTGCAACCGGAAACCCGTGTGACGTCATGTGTGGCGTAGGTTGGTAATTCCTCTTTACCGTAGGCACTTTATTATAAAATAGTAACTATGTAGAAGTGCCTAACTCTGATTGTAAGACTAAACTTGACGTAAACTGTAAACTTGTTCCACAAATCTGATTGGATGATTGGAAAATAGGGTCAGGGAGTACATCATTTTTCAGAAAACATTCAAATGATTATAGTTACTATTTTCCTGTCAGTTTTTCATCTCAAACCTTTTACATTGTGAAATTGTTCAGACCACACCTCTAAAATAACTAGCGAGACATTAAAGTGCAAACAGTATATAATGCTGTTTTATTGTTTCCTAATTAGTTTTAAAAGTCTCCTACAATAGGTTTACATCCATCCACGGTCAATAAAAACTATGATTTTTCTTATTGAGGCATCAGCCCTTTCTGGCAGTCTGCTCTGATTGGTCAGGTGCTTTCTCTGTTCTGATTACAGTAGGTTTTAAAAACCAAATGTATATTAGCACAGCTGAAATTCAACTCCTGCTTTACTTTATTAATGTATGCATGAATCCTCAACCTTCTTGACCATCTTCAATCTTCTCGACATGTCAACAGCAGAAACTAAACCCTAGCTAAAATGTTCGAAACAGTCTAATGGGTCTTACTTCTTACTTATTTCATTTTATGGGAATATTTAAAGTCACCTTCAGTATGTCAACCACAGTGAATCCTTAGAAAATGATGCAAGCGTCATTATGCTCACAGACAGGGACCTTACATTTATTTGTTAAAATATTGTTGGGTTTACAGCTGCAATCTAGTTCACTGTCAGGTGATTTCCTGCACTTCTGTCCAAGCACTGATTCCCAGAATTGTATATAATTATTTTCATTTAAATGGACTGCAGTGATGATATTTTAGTGTACTTTTAACTTCCTTCAGACTGGCCTTTTTGATTGATCTGAAGAATGAGCATTTAAGATAAACAGAGTGTGGAGTCAGTCACAACCCAATAAAGGCTCACTTCTCATTTAAGGATGTATTTCATAATACTTATTTACTTTTATCATTTTCAAATCTGTAATGGCTTCCTTGCCTCCTCAAACAGATCTAAGTGATAAGAGAGTCTGATAAGTGTGTTTGTGTGGTTACAGCTGTGCTCCTTACACAGCTCAATGACTGCTGCTCTCCACCCACTGTGACGGACTGCACCGCTCATGCACACGGAAAGCACCGACTTATGCATGTAAATTACAGGCCCTTCACTGGCTTTGACACAACTAAATTCATCCTAGCAGCCATCAGATAAAGGAAAACTTAAGTTAGCCCAGAACTAGGATTGTGCAGTCTTTTCCCTGAAAAACCAGTTCAGATCCAGCTTAACTTCCTGAGATGTCCTGTTGATAATTGAGGCTGGATATAAACTCTGCTGGATGGTGGTTCTGCAGAATCAGGACTGACCACTCCTGTAATGGACTACTGTAAATACACTCCTCTCATCCTCCAATCAGTGAGCAGTTCATCATTGGCAACAGGTGATGGTCATTATGTCTGACTAGAGAAGAACAAAGAAAGAATGAAAGAAAATACAAAACAAAAACAAATTTGTGCTGGGATGTAACAGTTCTGAGTGAAATAATCCTTTAAATCCCCTTTCTTCTGCAAAAACATAAACTTTTTTGTTATTATTTTCTCATTTTGCCCTGATGATTGACCATTCCATTTGTTTGGTGTTAAGTTATTTGACTCATGAATGTTGAAACAGCGTTCATCACATTTGGCATCAGGTTTATTCACTTGGTTCTTGACACTTTGATGCATGAGTGTATTGATTTGCATGTTTCTCAGAAGTATCTTCACAGCTTCAGACCTGCACCTTCTGGCAGAGGCAGGACTGTGCTCTGGTGAGCTGTACTCCTTCTGTTCACTCTCTGTGACAGACGTCTACATTACTTTCAGAGGTGGATTTGAAGACTTCAACATCATGCATCACTTCTTGCTGGGATTCTCAGTCATGGCATTGATTTACCTGTCAGGTAAGTTACTGCTTAAGACATTTAAAAAAAAACAACAACAGCAGTATTATTTGAGCTTCAAATATGTTTCTGTTGCTATTACTAATACACTTTGTATATTTTAACAAGAATTTGATCTGATTTTTGATTGATACACTCAAAAAAATTACATTGGTTGTTTGTTCAAACTACTTATTTAAAATGATGTGAAACAACACAATTATTGAGTTTGTTTGGGAGCAACTTAATTGCTTCATGTTCAATCCACTTAAATTTGTCAAAACTAAAAAGTTACCTTAATTCCTTCATGTTGTGCCAACACAAGTCAAATGTGTGGAACCCAGGATTATTTTAATGTACACTCAAACTACTTTCATCAACACAATTATTGCGATTTTTGTTGACAACTTAATAGTTTCACAGTATGTTTAATCCACTTAAATTAGATAACTTAATCTATTTGTGTTGGGAAAACGTGAAAGAATTGTGTGGAACCCTGCATTTTTACAGTGTATGACATTTTGTCTGAAAGTTGAAGGATTGCTATTTGCATATTACAGTTGCCCTAGACTTGTTTTCAGTGTTGTTCTTCCTTTCCATCTGTGAGCGAAAGAGGAAGTCCACTTTTACTTCAAAACAAGTTTGCATTCGCCAAATATGTTCTCAAAGACCTTGTTAACAGCTTATAATGCTGTTAGCATTCAGACTGTTTTTATAATAACAATCATATTTTGTGGATACACTTGTGCTGATTTGTTACAACAAAAAACCACTGCAATATAAATGTGGTCTGTCCAGCCTAACCTCACGAGAAAATGTATTTTACATTTTGCCAGTTTAGTGGCTAATTTGTACGAATTCGTACGTGTTCAGTCGTACGAAATTGTACGATTTTAAAAAAGAGGCTTGGCACCTAACCCCACCCCTAAACCCAACCGTCATTGGGGGATGAGCAAATCGTACTAAATTGTACTAATTAGATTGTAAGTCATACAAATTAGCCACTAAATCAAAAAGTTACGAATTGCCATGAGACATAGGTTTTGTCCTATGTATTTTCCCCTCATGCATCAGCTTATAATACGGTTATTATTCAGTATATTTTAATAACAATCATGTTCCGTACACTCTCAGAAATAAAGTTACAAGAGCTGTCACTGGGGTAATACCTTTTCAAAAGGTACACATTTGTACAAGGGTCCATATTGGTACCTCAAAAGTCAACGCCATCTCACGGCAATTTGTAACTTTTTGATTTAGTGGCTAATTTGTACGAATTCGTACAATCTAATTCGTACAATTTAGTACGATTTGCTCATCACCCAATGACGGTTGGGATTAGGGGTGGGGTTAGGTGCCACGCCTATTTTTTTAAATTGTACGTTTTCGTATGACTGAACTCGTACGAATTCATACGAATTAGCCACTAAACTGGCAAATCATAAAATACTTACGTTTCATTGTAACCCCCCCTGATTTCACGCTGCCGGCATTATTATAAGCGAAATCTAAGTTTCATACGATCCCGGATGTATCGTTGGTAGTTAAATAGGAACGTTGTGTACCTGGCTGTATATCTTATCAGCAAGGAGAAAGTGACACAAACTTATGATTTCACCGCTTTCCCAGTGACCCGAAGGTCCATTCCGAATTAATGGTAAAAATAAAAAGGGATATCAAACTCGAGTTAATGAACTGATTCTTTCACTATATTAGACTTGTCACGATACTGAATTAAAAGAAAAATTGTCAATTTTCCGCTAACATTTCAGGCAATGTTTATGGCTTTCTTAAAACAGACAGATTTGCCATTGTGTTCACCTGTTCAACAGAAATGCTTCTGATTGGCCCAGAAAGTCATTCGTTCACCCTCCACTTTTTACCGAGCACAAACACAGACGAGCAATCTGCTTAATGACACAACTGATCTTCAAGGCTGCTTCGCGCTCCAGTGTCCGTGTATCTGTGTTTGCACTGGGTGAAGAGCAGTAAACTGAGTGCAAACACAGATACACGGAGACTGGAGTGTGAAGCAGTCGTGAAGATCAGTCGAGTCATCCGCGCTCAGCGGCGCTTCAATGTTAGCAGAAATGGACGGATTTTGTTCTATTACAGACAACACGAGGATGTGCTAAAGAGGACTGCAGTGTTTTATCAGTGTTTTAAGCAGGAAAGCGTACCCAAGGTGTTTAACTGGTGCTATGAACTGAAGCCTAGGAGGACACTTGAGCATATTACTCTTACAGAAATTGTAATATTGTTTGATGCTAATTTGCTTTTAATTGTTTAAATTAAACTGAACTGGATGATATTAAAGTGATGTTTACACCATTGTATTTTGAAATCTCAACAACAGCCGGAGGTTTGTAGTGCACAGCATGTTACTGCAATGTTTACAGTGCTGGTCCTATACTTCCGGGTTTCTTCCCACCGCAGCCTCGCTTTGGTTCTTTAAAATGGCAGCTGCATGAAATAAGCGTATATGTACCCTTGAGGTATTAATATGAACCTTTTAGGTACAAATTTGTACTTTTTTGAAAAGATACCACCCCAGTGACAGCTCACGTACCTTTATTTCTGAGAGTGTAGATTTACTTGTGCGGATTTGTTACAGCAAAAGACCACTGCAATCTTAAATGTGTTGTCTTTTTTTCTCTCCTCATGCATCTTATCATTTCAGCTGAAGGAAGCATCATTGTATTCCAGAAGCCCAGATTTATTGGCGTTAAGACAGGTCGGACTGTGATCATATACTGTGTGCCGTCGAATCCCACTCGCGGGCCAGCTCGTGTACAGTGGTTCAAAAACAAGAATTACCAAAGCTCACTTACGAATGACCAGAGAATAACAATTAACGACAGGAACAATGATAAAAATGCTTCCATTACTTTAAAGAAAGTGGAGACTGAGGACAGTGGCACTTACGTTTGTAAATTAAATGATACATTCGGACCAGGAACTGAACTTCAAGTATCCAGTGAGTATCATCATTTGTTTTACCATCTTTTTTTTCTAGCCTGTGTGTCAGATAAATATCTCCTTGTGTTTATCCTCAGGATTTAGCGAGCCTCATGCTGTCTTGATGAGATCTAGAGTTAAGGATGTCATCATTTTCCTTCAGGCTTTCCTCTTGGTTTTGTGCATTGTCGTTCCTCTGGTTCGACTTTACAAACTGGTAATTAACTTATTCCACATTTCTCTGTTGCATGTGTTGACTTTTTTGGACGCGTCACTAACACTAGCTACTGTTTCTCATTGTGTTTGATTACAGGAGAAGAAAGAAGAGGCTGAATATGAGGAGCCAGAGGATGACCACATATATGAGGTGATGCAGGTTTACGGTTGATTGAGTTTTAGCTCAGAGTGCTCAAGTTATTGTTGCATGCAGGACGGGAAGTGAAAACACACATGCCTTTTTCTTTTACATGAGTTTATGAATTTAGAGTTGTGATGTACTTGTGATAATATACATTCTTTTTGCTACATTCAGGCCCTTGAGTCTTGGTCAAATCTCGTCCTCTGCACACTTGGGTTGTTCAAAACATTTATGCATTTTATTCTGTTGACAAAAAAAGTAGAAAATTACAAACATATCGTCAGGGGAAAAAAACATTCATTGACAAAACAAAAAGACTATGGAAACCAGTGGCCGTTTTTTACAACATTATTTCTAATTTCCTATCAAAAGGAAAGAAAAGCAGTGTGAAAAAATAATGACAGTATTTTCTTTTTTAAATGCACTATCCCTGAAAATCAAGACACATTTCAGGAGTTCACACTTAGCTGTTGATTTATAATAAGCTTGTTTGGCATGCTGTCCATCAAGAGAGCCCTGAGCTCAAGGCATTCTCAAGTCCAGGGCTCCCTCCTGTTCGCAGGGCGAGTGGGGAGATTAAGCTTGGGTAGATCTCAAAAACGGCGAGGCATTGGCACAGCAGGTAGTGCTGTTGCCTCACAGCAAGAAGGTCGCTGGTTCGAACCTCGGCTTAGTTGGCGTTTCTGTGTGGAGTTTGCATGTTCTCCCTGCCTTCGCGTGGGTTTCCTCCGGGTGCTCCGGTTTCCCCCACAGTCCAAAGACATGTGGTACAGGGGAATTGGGTAGGCTAAATTGTCCGTAGTGTATGAGTGTGTGTGTTGATGTTTCCCATAGATGGGTTGCGGCTGGAAGGGCATCCGCTGCGTAAAAACTTGCTGGATAAGTTGGCGGTTCATTCCGCTGTGGCGACCCCGGATTAATAAAGGGACTAAGCCGACAAGAAAATGAATGAATGAATGAGATCTCAAAAACTCCCCCGCTGGTGTGGCTAAAACTGAACTGCTCTGAGAAGAAAACACTGATGCTGGGAGCTAGACTATGGTGCCCATTTGGTTTAGTTGGTTTACGGTGGGAGGAAACCAGGGAATCCAGTGGAAACCCACGCGGACACGGGAAGAACATGCAAACTCTGCACAGATCGCCAACCGGCTCGGCGAGGACCAGAGCCATCTGTGTTCTTGCTGTGGGGCAACAGTGCTAACCATTGCATGCCGCCCAATCTAGGTAAAGGAGGGAGGAAAAGAGGAGGAAGGGGGGTTTCTTCCAGACGAAGATGATTGTGGAATAAAGACTGTGGTTATTTATACTGACTTCCCCCATAGCAAAATTTCTCTGGCCCAGATCTGGCCCACACCCTCAGCATTTGCTTGGCCCACATGCCGCAGTGAATTGACTGGACTAAGTCTGGCTTCCATACAAGAGGCAAACATGGACCATATCTGGGCCAAGTCTCAGACAAGTAAATATCCCGGAACTGGGCCAGATGTGTTGGTGTTACACGACTGCATTGTTTTTTATAAACCCATCAAGCATTTTGCTTTATGGCTGTGCTTTTTCTTGAAGCGACCTGATTGATAGAATTTTTTCTTTAATCAAAAATAATTTAAATGTATTTTAAAAGTGGGTCAGGATAGGCCAAACTTACGTGGCCCACATATATGTTTTTAAAATTTGGGTCAAATACTACATTTGACATCTGGGCCAAGTCTTGAGTGCCACCTCTAAGATGGTGCCACCTCGGCCAAACCTGGGCCATGTTTGGCCCACATGCTGTATGCCAGTGCTGGACGAATGCCTACTGTGCCAGCTTTATGCTAAATCTGTGCCAAAATTCTTTGCTACCTGGGTTAGGATTCATCTGATTGAAGGATCGTTTATTAGCTAATGCGGGACCGGCTGTGGTCAATCATAAGTATGTGATCCTTTCGAAATTAATTTATAAATAAACTTCACATAGTGAAGCAAGCCATGAGAGAAGCAGTAAAAAACAATATATATATATATAACGTCCAAAAACGTCTAAAAACATGCCACCTAAGTTTATTGACTGATCCAAATCAGCAACATAGACATGCTCCTAGCAAGTAGTTATCTCTAAAGAGCAATCACTATCTGTTCATTAGCTACTACAGCAGGGGAGTTCTCGATATCTACCTAAGCTCAAACTCCCCTCTCGCCTGGCAAACGGGAGAGAGCCCTGGCCTCGAGGATCTTATAAGCTCAGGACTCTCTCCCAGGACAGCATGCCAAACAAGCTTAAGTGTGAACACTTGAAATGGACTATATTCAGTATGTTGTTTCTTCTGTGTTGTATAAACAGGGTTTGGAAATCGAGCAGGTTGGTGGAGATGTGTATGAGGACATCTCAACGTTTGCCCAGAGCAGTGATGCAGCTTGGCAAGTTGAGTCTCCATGCCAAGAGTGAGAAAAACCAACGATATCTCACACCATTTCATACTTTTTTGATTTAGTGGCTAATTTGTATCAATTTGAATGAGCGCATTCATACATTTTAGTATGATTTGCTCATCCCCCAATGACAGTTGGGTGTTAGGATGGGGTTTGGTGCTTAGTTTGGTATTAGAAAACTTTACATTTTAATAATAATCTAATAATCACCAGATCTCAGCTTTAACACCAGACGCAGGTGGATGCTTTCAGTCTCATTGTTTGTGTTTTGTGTATATATATGTGTTTGTGTGTGTGTGTGTGTGTGTGTGTGTGTGTGTGTGTGTGTGTGTGTGTGTGTGTGTGTGTGTGTGTGTGTGTGTGTGTGTGTGTGTGTGTGTGTGTGTGAACATGCTATAGATTTCACTTTCAGTTTGAAACTGTTATTACTATTCTTCACCTTAGAACTATAAGGTTGTATCTGCATTCTGAATGATTTCGAGATATTGAGCTTCAAAGTTTTTGCATTCCATAGCAAACAGTAAGTGTGTAACATTTGTTTTTTTAAATAAAAACTGTTAAAATGTAAATAACTTATATAAAAAATCCCATAATGTAAATAAGTTGTCAATTGATAGGAAAATGTCAATAACTCAATTTTGACAGAAATGTCTGATAGAACCTTATAATTCTAAGGTGACGTATTGTAACTGATAGTACTATATATAAATAAGCATGTAGTTTTAGTTCTTGTTAATGCATGTAAACATTTACATAATGATTATTCAAGGACATCGTAGTATTTTTACATTTTGTTCTTGTTGCTTGTTTATTTTACCAGCTGATGTCCTGTAATATACTGGGTATTTAGTGTGTTTGATTTTTACAGTATGTTTGTTGTATAAATACACTGGCTCTGGCTGGTCATTCATAAAAAGGTGCTTCATATGTGGAAATAAATATACTAGTGGTGAGGAACTGTTCTTCTGAAGGCAGAAATATCCACTTTCACTTCATTTCTGTTAAAATAAGCATGTGAGAATCAGGTGTTTTCCACAACATCGCTTTTTTAGCTTATTTTTCATGCATTTTATCTGATGTGGCTTCTTCAACATCAAACAACATATGACCGTCTGTCCGTCTGTATAGATTTAACATTTTTTAATGTCACTATCTGACATAAATGTGTATTTTTTGTGAATTTTGAAATGTTATAAAGTTTTGTTTTGAATTTGTTTCAGTCTAAAACGTGCTACTGAATTTTGATGAATTTTGTAAATTTACACATTACTCTGTTAGGAAACTGTAGTGTAATTTTAGTGTCATTTAACCTTTTTTCAAAGTTTGCACAATTGCTATTTGCATATTACAATCGCCTTAGACTTCTTTGCATATAAAAAACAAACAAACTAAAAATGAGCACATTTAGACATTTAAGCTCAATACTTAATATAATGCAGGGGAGAGTGGGGACGGCTGCAGCATGGGGCAGTTGCAACAAGACTTACTCCTCCATTCAGGAATGAGCTAGAGTGATAATATAGTACATATTCTCATTTAGACCCTCCTGCAATCAGAAAGGTAATTTTCTAAAAGGTAAAAAAAAGTAATTTTTTTTAAGGTAAAAAAGTAATTTTTTAATGTTTAGAAAATTTCTGTTTTCATTCATTTTCTTTTTGGCTTAGTCCCTTTATTAATATGGGGTCATCACAGTGGAATAAACCATCAACTTATTCAGCATGTGTTTTACGCAGTGGATGCCCTTCCAGCTGCAACCCATCACTGGGAAATAATGTTTTTGTGAAACATTAATCATTCATATAATTTAAATCGCTGTCTTCTTAGCTTCAAATAGGTGTAGCGTTAAAACTATTGTATCTGTCTAGCATAGACAGTTTCATCATGGTTGACAGAGTTAGAACATGCTGTTGCAAGTGTCCCCTATCACAAACATCACTTCAAAGCTTGCCATATTAACGATGTACAATATTAATTTTATTACAGTTTCTTTGATTAATACTTTGATTCTTTGATTAATTAGTTTCAAGGTTCACAGAAGTGTATTTTAGTCAAAGTTCAGTCTAGATTTTCAGAAAGAAAAAAAATATTCCAGTTTTTTAGCCTGATAATTGGCTGTTGCTTGTTCTTTTAATATTCTGTATTTCTATGGTCAGTTTAACACATTTAACATTTTAACAAATTTACATTTAGTCTGTTTACCATTAAAATATCAATAAAATCCAGCTTGATGTTTTAGGTTTTTTTATTGTTACATTTTAATGAATGTTGTCATCCCCCTGCTCCGGATAAATTGCATTTTGTCTGTTCAAAAATTCATAAAAATTTTGTGTTTCCACGAAAAACTGTCTGTGAGAAAATAAAAGAAATGCAAGAAGTGTTGCAACAGTCCCCACTCTCCCCTATGATGAACAAATTTAACCAAGCAAGAGCACACTTTTGGAAATAGAGAAGACAGAGGACCGGCTCGCAGTGTTTTGTTGTTTAGCCTCTTAATATTATCCTGCAGTGAAGGAAAACGCGCCATCTTGTGGTCATTTTAGACAGATATTAGTATGAGAAAGGCTGGAATAAACAAGACTGCTGCAAAGATAAATTAAAAGACGAGTTATCTGTCGCTAGTAGCTGAGCTCAAAGGTTTGTCAGATAGACTTGTATTTTTTTACTTTCAGACTGTGATTTCATCAAACATGTTTGTTTGTGCTGAATGACTTGAAAGTTTGGTGATGTGTATAGCCATTTTTTTAGAAGTGAAAAGTCGAATAATTTATTCCACCATGCGAATCCTGAAAAGATATCACAGTTAATCTAGTTTTATTAATACATTTACTAATAATCCTGAAAAGATATCACAGTTAATCTAGTTTTATTAATATATTTACTAATAATCCTGAAAAGATATCACAGTTAATCTAGTTTTATTAATACATTTACTAATAATCCTGAAAAGATATCACAGTTAATCTAGTTTTAATAATACATTTACTAATAATTGTTAGGCTATATCTCTGCTAGGAAAAAAAGCAAGAGCCAAAAAATGTGAATTCTCTTATTTTTTAGTTGATTCTCTAAAGTACTGATGACATTTCTTCTGAATTAAAAAAAATGCTATAATTTAGATCATAAAATTAGGTCAAACATAAAACGGTGCGTGTTTTCAGACAGTTTATATTCATTTTCAGGCAATACACTACAATACAACACAATGCCAATTCACTTGAGAAGAGTTATAAATGTTTTTGTGTAATAACAATGATTTTTAATTACAACAAAATTAATTATTTCGACTAATATTAAATAAATAAATAAATAAATAATGCTGTAATTGAGAATCCTTTTATGTGAAATTTGGAAGAAATGTTATCAGACCTACTGAACGAAACGAATAAGCAATTTAGTTTTGCTCAAACACCTGACGAAACAACATTTTCAAGTGGTCATTACTCCAATAGCTGACTACATCAAACATTTATTAATAGCATACAAAACTGAGAATAAAAAATTTTAACAACTGAGCAACATGGCATATTAAATTATAGATAAATATTAAATGATAAATTAATAAATATGGTAAGGCTATTTTGATGGTCCCTATTGCACATGTTGTTGACTAAACCTTGCTTTGCTACTACATGCCAATTACGTTTCATTTGTGTATTAGTAGACTGTCTGCTTAATATCTGCTGATACAGAATTCAACAGACATTTAACTGACTATAAGAAACTTTGCATGTACATGTGAATTTACACTGACCCCAACCTAACAGTCTACTTATAATCTAATGAGAATTAGTTGTCATGTAGATGCAATGTACCTTAAGTTCAACAAAATACATTAAAGGGACCATCAAAACAAAGAGATACTGTAAAAATAATTATTACCTTAATTAAAATGAAAAAGAATTAAAACTTAAACAATATGTTGACAAATTAAATATCTTAAATGAGTCTTTGCCTGCCGCCAGCCTAACAACAATATTATTCATAAATAAAAACAACAGAAAATTTTCAAATGTTCAAGTTTTATTGGATGCAAAAATACAAAAATAAATAATTTTACATTTTTCATTCAACGTAATTAGTCACAGCTCAAACACATTTGACATGAATAAATAAATAATGATAAATAAATAATTAAATGAGTATAAAAGCACAACAAATAGCCAATGATATAAATATACAAACAATCACAGCTTAAAGAAATTTGACATAAATAAATAATGATAAATAATTAAATGAAGGCCTCAAAAATATGCAATAATATAAATAAAACACACAATCACAGCTCAAAGAAATTTGACATAAATAAATAATGATAAATATATAAATAATGATAAATAATTAAATGAAGGCCTCAAAAATATGCAATAATATAAATAATACACACAATCACAGCTCAAAGAAATTTGACATAAATAAATAAATAATGATAAATAAATAAATAAATGATGATAAATAATTAAATAAAGGCATCAAAAATATGCAATATAATTATTACACGTAATCACAGCTCAAAGAAACTTGACAAATAAATAAATAAATAAACAAATAATGATAAATAAATAAATAATGATAAATAATTAAATAAAGGCACGAAAAATAGGCAAAAATATAAATAATAGAAACAATCACAGTTTAAAGAAATTTGACATAAATAAATTAATTAATTAATAATGATAAATAATTAAATAATTATACAAGTACAACAAATATCCAATATAATATATATGAAAATGCACAAACAATAATACAAATAAAAATAAATAATAATTAAATAAAGACTAAAAAAAACAAAAAAGAATATAATTATTTTTTCAAGTACATAGGAATTCAAAAGAGGAGTGTCGGCACTGATTAACAACACTGAAATGCTTTAAATCCTTCTGTAAATAAAGGGGAAGCTCCTGTTTTAAACATGAGTGTGGAAGGAGAAGGAGTGCAGCTGATTCATCAAACTGATCACTCGTTTTCTGACCATCTCCCAGCTTCTGCCTCCATCCTGAAAGAGGAACACAACAAATCATTTAGATATTGATTTTTATAGATTTGACATTTTTGTAGCAGCAAACCATCAATGAACAGGAAATTGTTCAACCATAATCTCTTGTTTCAGGAATGGTTTTGCTGCTTGTTCAAACTATTTATTTAAAGTGAGCTGAAACAACACAGTTCTTGAGGCTTTTTGAGACAACTTAATCATTTTATCCACTTAAATTTGGAAAACAATTACAATAATTTATGTGTGTTGGGACAACATGAAGGACTTGTGCTGAACACAGCATT